AGCAGAAGCTTAATTGTATGTGTCCAGTGCGAGCACTGGACACATACGTCCACAGAGCTGCCCTGTGGAGAAGGGCGGACCAACTACTTGTGTGCTACGGTCCCCCTAAGAGAGGTCTTCCTGCTACAAAACAGTCCCTCAGCCAGTGGATAGTGATGCCTTCTCCTTTTCTTATGAGTCCTCTGATCTCCCCTCGCCTCTGGGGGTCAAGGCTCACTCTACTAGAAGTGTGGCAGCCTCCAAGGCCTTTCTGGCAGGTGTGTCTATGCAAGACATCTGCAACACTGCGGGTCGGTCCACGCCCGGAAGGTTCGTCAGGTTCTATGGCCTAGATATGCGAACTACTCCTGGCTCTTCTGTTCTCTCGCCCTAGCTGTGCTCTTCCACACTAGGCAGGGATTTGTAAGTCTGGCGGCGTGGGCATACTCGTTTTCCAAAGCGTTTCGATGCAGCTCTAGTTCCTGAAGGGGAACGACTCCAGGTTACGTATGTAACTATGGTTCCCTGAGGGAACGAGACGCTGCGTCTCAGTGCCATACTTCCGGCATCCCTGCGAGTGCTTGCTTCATTCATACATTGGTCTGATTACACACATGATTCAGAACGTGGTCACGCTGAAGGCATTCCCATAGCGTTTTGACGCAGCGTCTCATTCCCTCAGGGAACCATGGTTACATACGTAACCTGGAGACATTTCCCATACACAACGCTCGTTCCCTTATCTCATGGAACCGAGGTTACATCAGTAACTGGAGCGTTTTCTTGTTTCATTTCTGTGAAAATATTTTACATAAAGTAGGCATAATCCCCCATTTATTTTTGTTTAGCACATCATTACACTGGGTGTTCTGTTCTGCGATGTATTTTGATGTTATTACTTGTTATGTGTTCGGCGTGGTATCCTGGGTTAACTTTTCCTCTGGTTTCATCAACAACAGACCTCCTCCGACTGCTTAAATTGACAGTCCACGACGAGGAGCTGGAAAGGCAAATGCAATACATTAATCTTTTTCTCATGCCACACTGCAAGAAGTGGTAATCTGTGATTATTCCCTTAAAGAACTATTTCTACCTGATTTAACTTGTTGGTATGAACCGATGTATAGAGTTTGTTTTAGTGACGTTAAATAATATTTTGTACTAATATTCTTTCAATGTAAGAGTCCGTGGCTATGTTCAAAATGGAACACTAGAGTACTCTTTACTGCATATTGTAAAGCATACATCATATAATGATTACAACACAAAATAGTATATAAAATAATATTCACTATGCAACAATAAACAACATGGTTATTTTGTATTTTTGAACGTATTTTGTATAAAAAAAATATTTTAAAAAATGATGGAAAAAATGAAAGGTGAACTCAAGCGCATTGTATTGTGGGATACAATATAACATAGTATATGTTCTGTTGCATACTCCACATTTTGGCAAATGAAGATGGATATCAGGTTATCTTTTGCATAAATGAACTAGAAATAGCAGTAGTATGGTAGTATGCTGAACTGAGCAAAATGTCATACTCCATTAAATTTTGTAGCAGTGTTTGGAATTTGTGGAAAATGGTGTATTTCTCGCCAATATTTCCATGATTTTTTTCAAGGCTGCTGTTTCAATTACTTGAAAATGTGTAATGGTTCTGCTTTGGTACAGAAGATGTTGTAGTCATTAAGGTCATTCACTCTGTGTGTGCAATTGCTGTCAAAAACAAGCATTCAAACACAAAGTTATCTGTTCATAGTACAACAGTAGTGTGATATGATTAGTGTCTCTTGTCTTTGTATGCCTGTCAGTGTTAGTGATTTAGAACTGGGAAAACAGATAATGTGCAATGTTCAGAGAGATTAAGACTTCTGTCACTAATAGATCATTTTCCTTCTTCTGGATGTTGTATGTTTAACAGAGGTCCAGTTGGTGCATTCAGAAAAGCCTCAAAACAGGTATGGTATACACACAAATGTCTTACCTGAATTTATTTTCAGAGCTTGATTCTGTAAATGTAAAGAGAAAAACATACGTGTAACTTAAAATTTCTGGTTCTAGCCTCAGGCAGCAGTAGTCATCTGGTAGCAAGCTTAACGATGACATATTAGTAGCTGGTGCAACAAGAGGATATGAGATAGTAACAAATTCCAGAGCTGCATTGTGTGTGTGTGTGTGTGTGTGTGTGTATAGATAGATAGATAGATAGATAGACAGATCTGTACAATTCCATACATACATACATATATATATATGGAATTGTACAGATTAAAATATGGTGTTGTTGTTCTTCAATGTCATGCTAAACAGTCTTAGAAATCTACGTAGCACCTAAAAGTATATGGTGAAAAAAAAAAAGAAATGTTCTCTTGCATAACTTTTGGAATGGAAATATTATGCAGTGGGAAGAAAAACTATATTTCAGTGCTTCTGAAAGCGAGCGCAAAGTTTCTTTGGGGAATCCAATAGCTGCGAGACAACGCAAATGTTTTGCGAGCAAACACAAAAGCATTGAAATTTAATTCTTCCTCCCATCTTTAATTTTTTTCCATCACTATGTTCCTTAGGGGCTCCTAAGGCACCTTGCAAAATATACTTATAATATTCTATAAACATTTTCTTGAATTTTATTAAATATATAAATATTCACATTTAATGTTTTAGCAGTGAAACACGTTTGCACATATGCCAGAGGTTTTTTTAAATGTGTGAAATGGCTTATAAGGAAATAAAATGGATGACAATTCCCATTTTCAAATCTGTCAGTGCTCTTAACAAATATGTAATACCTCATGTACGGTTACGAAATAAAAAAAATTAGTTGTAAAGAGTTTTAATTACCGTTGATGTTAGAACATCTCTTTAATTTAACCACTGATAATGTGTGATTTGACATATAATGAATAAAGAAAGAACTTTTAGAACAAAGACATTGTTAACAGGTTTTCTGTCTGAAAGCACTTTAGAAGACAGGTGAGTGATGCAGTAAAACCTTTAAACTGCCTCGTTGCTGACAACTCAACCTACAATGTGTCCTTGCTGTTGGTCCAATTTATGGCAAGCACTGCTTTAACTTCCCCCTTCATTGGTTTAATAACTTGCAGGAGAGTTTTAAAGGGAACTTTTAAGAGAAATGTAAAATGGATTTGCTTACTTGTCAGTTTTTTTCTATAGTACAAGATCAGGATGAGCACTGCCAGCAGAATGATCGTACACACAGACACTATCACAGCGATCACAACTGTGTAGTCCTGTGGTGCTTTCGGTGCCACTGCAAAACACATTTGTACATTTATGGCAACGTTTATATGCAAAAAATTTACCCAATGCATTTAATCAGTATTTTTGTAGCTATGATGAGTATAAATCATTTACAGCCTACTGTCAATACTGATATTTATTTCATATAAACTGTCGTGTATATAATCTAACAGTAGCTCTAAATTAAAATTGAATTGAATCAAGCAAAAAATATATTTAAATTTTTTTTTTTTAGCTTTTTATGAAATTAATATTGATATATTATGCATCATTTTAATGTTTTAGAATTTAATATGATGTGAAGCTAAAAAATGTAGCTGTAATTTTGTTATAATAATTGCTAGTACACATTTCTCAATACTAGTCATGCAGTTTTCCTTACAACTTGGCACAGCAGTAATTTCACATTCAAAATGCACCAAAACTAATCAAATCAAGTCATTCTTCCATAACACTAGCAAAGGTTTCACCCAGCAAGCACACATTGTCATTCATAAAAAAAACACTGACAACAGATAAATAAGAGGTAAAATTATACGTATTTCCTTTGGTCAAATATCTTTATAAAACAAGCTCTCACAAAATTCAGTATATGGTTTCAGGGTTCTCCAAACTCGGTCCTCGGTCCGGCAGAGTTTAGCTCCAACTTGCCTCAACACATCTGCCTGGACGTTTCTAGCATGCCTGGTAAAACCCCGATTAGCTGGTTCAGGTGTGTTTAATTGGGGTTGGCGCTAAACTCTGCAGGACATTGGCCCTCCAGGACCGAGTTTGAACACCCCTGTGTTACATGGTCAGTACATGTTTACATTACGGTACAAAATTATTCCTATTGTATAGTCGTTCTCTTTTGTACACGTTCTATATGTGTGTGTTCAGCTACATCTAATTGTTTTGATTGTATTTCATTTTATTTATTTATGAACAAAACACCGCGTTTCAGCGATGACTCCTCTGAACTTCTTTGATTGGCCATTGCATTCATAAGCTCAACAGATTTGTGTGTGATTGGTTATAATGACCAGCGCTGTAAAAACGCGTCTGTACCTGGATCAGCGCCAGCCAGCGAACGCAGATTTGAATTTAGCAGCTGGTGATATGACGCACTGAACGTTCTAATCACACCGGTGTGATTGTATCAAATATAAAAAATATTATTCGGCTATTTTTTGTCTTTTGGAAGCTGCATTCAAAATCCACTTGGCTTAGAAATCTGAGGGGGCACGTGCCCCCCCACTTTGAATGGGCATGATGCCTCTGGCTGTGACAACTCTATATACAAGCAAAACATGAGGTATGGTATCATAAAAGTTTCAAAACTCTGTTCTCTTCTGTCACATCCTTGTCTTTATTTTTCATATTGCCTGCACACAATCTCGCTGTTTTCTGCTGCGCAGCTCACACTATAAATAAACGCATAATCGCTTACTTTCCCTGCATCCCAATGTTTTACTATCCATCCTAAATAGTATGTGAGATTAAAATAAGTGTGTCCCAACGCATAGTATGTTGAAAAGAGCAGCCTGTGCCAGAAGTCCCCGGATGGTCTACTATTTTAGGTAGATTTTTGAAGTGTGGATCCGTGCACACTCTGATGGCTAATATTACCCACAATCCATTGCGCTTTGACGAATGATTCGGTTCAGAACTACAAACACGAATGATAAAAAAAAATGTTAAAAAACTATAAACATGGCAGTTGTGCGTGACCGACGGTTATGTAGAGGTTTAGATAAAGGGGTTTGAGTTACTAATAATCAATATTTAACCTGTTAATTTTTTTTATTTAATGTTATCTGTGTTAGGATATTTCATCTACAGCAACAATGTGAACTTTTATAAACATCCGTTTGGCCATTAACTTTTAAATGCATCATTACGCAAAAAATATGAGCAGAGTTCTCTGCATAAAGAGACCCACGGCTGGCGGATCAACGTGCTACTTCATTTCTCTCCAATACAGTAGAAAGTTAAATGAAATGTGGAGGATGTTAACTGTGACAAGATGATTGACAGGCCAGTTTACAGTGACAGGATGCGTGTAATTATGCGACAAAGCGGACCGTTAAATGGTTAAGTTGTATGACGAGATAGTATGTTCCAAAGCTTGCCTGCTCTTCTACTGCACACTCAAAAGTGTGTACTTTTTTTTCACCAAAAGACTTCCGTATGACAGCATAAGTGTTGCCAAGTCCACAGCTTTCACACGGAACTGGGCTACTTTTTCATCGTTGCCGCGGGTTGTTTTTCAACTCCGTGGGTTAAAGCGACCCCACTAACGCGATATATAACCCCCAGCACATAATTGGGCTAGTTTTGGACTAGTTTTCAGAAGCAATTGGGTGGATTTTGTTGTGAAAACCTGGCAACCCTGTTCGTATTGTTCTTTTGCGCATGCGGGTCAGTTCAGAACCATGATCTGTTCACACAGGAAATCTGATATTGGCCACATTTAAAACAACAATGTGAACAGCTATGCAAAAAAATCGGATCTGTGCAAAAATCTGAATTGCGCACTAAGGCTCGCAGTGTGAACGTAGCCAGAGGTAACTGAGTAAAACAAACTAAATGTCCATGAAAATGAAACAAAACACACAGAACATAAGAACAAGAAGTTGCTTCAGTCCAGTAAGGTTCATCTTCAAATACTTCTAACAATTTAAAAGTTCTTATGTTTAGTTTATAAAAATCAATAAGGATTTCATAGCAAAAAGAAACATGTACCAAAACCTGAAGGACATTCTTTTTGTTAAATGTTTTGCTTTTTTTGCGTTTTTTTTTTTTTTAAGTTAATGTCACTTGGTTTGACGTTTTGTTACATATTGTAATGTCATTCATACATTTTAAGTGCAGCTTAGGTGATTGAATACTTTTTGGAGCGACTGTATACAGTATGTGTGTTTCTTTCCACTAAAAGCAGACGTGATTGTGCTCTTTTTAAATGATTGATGGTTCATAATTGACTGGTTGATGTGTGACTGGTAAATGTGTGACAGCTAAATTGTCTCTTTTAAAAGCCCACATTATGGGCTTTTTATTCACCCTGGAAAGGGAAACAAAAGGTAAAGCGGTGGACTGTTATAGACAGCTGCATAATTAGTCTAACTTTTCGCTTTCTCTTTTCGCATGGCCACAGCAATTCATTTGTAAAGGCTTTACTGTGGGTTACTGATTGTCTTATACTGTATAGGCTACCTCATAAGTCATGTATATATACAGTATGTGTATATATATATATATATATATATATATAGCACAATGTGATTTAAACACTAGAATTTTACATATTTAAAGGATGCACATTCAAAACTCACACTTAGGATGTTGTGGATGGTTTCTAGAGCATTGTCAAGGTTCTGTAGGGCATTTACTACATTGCTAGGGTGTTTTGGGTAGTTACAATGTGGTCCAAATCAAAAGAGCCCACCCACATGCCTCTATGATACTCTTGTCTCTATAGTTCAAATCTTAATTTATTTAAAATATGGGATTTTATTTTATTATTTATTTATTTGTCTGTTTTTATCCACCATACAATAATAATAATAAAGAATGATAATTTATACTATTAGCATCAATCAACCTATATGATTTGAGGTATTAGTCCAACTACTTTAAAACTACACTTTAAAATCTTAAAGTGAATAAAATGTCTGTGATCATTTAACAGGGGTGTGGACTCGAGTCACTTGACTCGAGACTTGACTCGGACTCGAGTCCCAAATTTGATGACTTGCGACTCGACTCGACATAATTAAAGAAGACTTGAGACTCGACTTAGACTTTGACAGCAATGACTCGAGACTTGACTCGGACTCGAGTCCCAAATTTGATGACTTGCGACTCGACTCGACATAATTAAAGAAGACTTGAGACTCGACTTAGACTTTGACAGCAATGACTCGAGACTTGACTCGGACTCGAGTCCCAAATTTGATGACTTGCGACTCGACTCGACATAATTAAAGAAGACTTGAGACTCGACTTAGACTTTGACAGCAATGACTCGAGACTTGACTCGGACTCGAGTCCCAAATTTGATGACTTGCGACTCGACTCGACATAATTAAAGAAGACTTGAGACTCGACTTAGACTTTGACAGCAATGACTCGAGACTTGACTCGGACTCGAGTCCCAAATTTGATGACTTGCGACTCGACTCGACATAATTAAAGAAGACTTGAGACTCGACTTAGACTTTGACAGCAATGACTCGAGACTTGACTCGGACTCGAGTCCCAAATTTGATGACTTGCGACTCGACTCGACATAATTAAAGAAGACTTGAGACTCGACTTAGACTTTGACAGCAATGACTCGAGACTTGACTCGGACTCGAGTCCCAAATTTGATGACTTGCGACTCGACTCGACATAATTAAAGAAGACTTGAGACTCGACTTAGACTTTGACAGCAATGACTCGAGACTTGACTCGGACTCGAGTCCCAAATTTGATGACTTGCGACTCGACTCGACATAATTAAAGAAGACTTGAGACTCGACTTAGACTTTGACAGCAATGACTCGAGACTTGACTCGGACTCGAGTCCCAAATTTGATGACTTGCGACTCGACTCGACATAATTAAAGAAGACTTGAGACTCGACTTAGACTTTGACAGCAATGACTCGAGACTTGACTCGGACTCGAGTCCCAAATTTGATGACTTGCGACTCGACTCGACATAATTAAAGAAGACTTGAGACTCGACTTAGACTTTGACAGCAATGACTCGAGACTTGACTCGGACTCGAGTCCCAAATTTGATGACTTGCGACTCGACTCGACATAATTAAAGAAGACTTGAGACTCGACTTAGACTTTGACAGCAATGACTCGAGACTTGACTCGGACTCGAGTCCCAAATTTGATGACTTGCGACTCGACTCGACATAATTAAAGAAGACTTGAGACTCGACTTAGACTTTGACAGCAATGACTCGAGACTTGACTCGGACTCGAGTCCCAAATTTGATGACTTGCGA